ATAGGGCAAAGGGTGCCAAGTGGTTTCTGGGCCAGGGGGAGGGGGAGGGGGAGGGGGGTGTCCTCTTACAAATAGAATATATGTGAAAGTGATTAGCATTTTGTATCAAAGTGTGATTTGGATTTAAATACTTTGTTTCTGTAAAAAGTTAAAGCCCAAATGTGGCTCAGCCCCCCAAAGCTCCCTGCGTGAACTCACCCAGCAGTATTTTATACGCCACACAACATGCAGAGTCCTCTTTGGTTTTACCTGGCGGTCCTCAGTGATGCAGAAAGCACTTCATGACTTCAGTGCCGTTCTCTAGCATGATACGGTGAATATAGGGGGGGGGGGCAGTGACACCCTGCACTTACACCATCCTTCCCTCCATCCTCTCTCCCCCCCCCATCCACATAACATGCAGGGTCCTCTTTGGTTTTCCCTTGTGGTCCTCAGTGATGCAGAAAGCAGCGCTGACTTCATGACTTCAGTGCTGTTCTCTGTAGCATGATACTGTCAATATAGGGAGCCATAGTAGTGCCCCTTCTCAGGGGGCGGGGCAGTGACACCCTGCCCTTACACCATGCTTGTCAGTCTTCTGTTACATGTCATATAATCAGGAAGACTGAGGACGTCTTGTGGCAAAAGAGAGTACTGCAGGGGACAGTTTTGGATTGAACATGAGTATTGCAGCCTGTGCTGCTTCTCCCCCCCCACGTGCTGGGAAGTGCGGACACCCATTCCCCAATCTGCTCTGTGATGAATGAACCCGGAAGTGCTCGGCTGTGTCAGAACCCGGCAGCTCTGGCTGGGAAAACAAGTGAGCACTGATTTGTTCTTAATTTTCCTGATTGCTCCTAATGAGTACCTGTCACTCCATACATGTATCAGAATCAGATATTTGGATCTGCTTGCTGTTCCATGTTGCAGGTATTGTATCAGATCCAGGGCAGCCATCAGAAATTTCGGGGCCCCTTACACGGCTTTAGGCTGGGCCCCCCACCGCGCCGCTGGACGCAGGGCTTAGTGACGCGCTGGACGCAGGACCCACCTGAGAGTGACACTGCAGAGCCCACCATAGATGCTGCACAGCCCATCTGAGACTATCTATGGTGGGCTCTGAAGGGATCTCAGGTGGGCTGGTCAGGGCTGCATCCCCCCCCTGTCCTTCCTTCCTTCCTAGCTCCTCTTACCTGCACACATGGCCTCGTCTGCCGCTGGACCGGCCAGAAGTGACGTCACGTCACTAACGTGACACCACTTCCGGCCAGTCTGAAATCAGAGGAGCAGCGTCGCTGATGGGGCCCTAGCTTGTCTCAAAGCCACTGGAGCGGCAGAGCTGGCCTCCGCCTCCTCGCCCTTCGCCGTCGCCCGATAGTCATGTAAGGGACACGGGTGGGCCCCCCCAGGCTGCCCGGGCCCCTTACATGAGTATCGGCCGTACCCCCCCTGATGGCTGCCCTGATCAGATCTATGAATCCCGCCTTGCACTGCAATTGCAAAAGATACCGAGTTATAATAAAACGAATCCGTCTGTTTCCCATTGGTCAGACCTGACCCCATAGACTGCACTGATGTAGAGCAAGCAGCAAGACATGACCGCTGTACATCGCTGCTTTCTATGTGATAAACGCCTGCACCCCTCTACTTATATCATTACAAGCAGTACCTAGGAGCATGGGCCATAAAAATGACGCTATCCCCTTAAATAAGCCCGCGGCTGCCATGTACGGCCCGGAAAGCGGCGCATCGGGGAGGGCGAGCAAAGCCCCTGCAGTTTATATGATGCATCCTGCCATTGGATTATCCATTTTACAATCTCTTAGCGTGAGATTAGGCGAGTGGCGTGTAATGTTCTCGTGAACACGGGGGTGTGCGTTGTTGGCCGCCTCCGGTGACATGTACATGAACCCTCCCGACGCCTCCTGTTCGTGTTATTTCCTCAGTTGCCGGTTTTTCTGGCTGGGTAGACGGAGGCGGCTTATATTCCTCTGCGGAGATGCTGCCGCATTCTGTACAGAGCCCGGGACGTTGTCACGATGTGTATAATCCCCTCCGTGCTCTCATTTCCTCTCCCTGGAGGACAGAATGCTCACTCAGTGCTCCCTCCACCAGCCTGGCTCTCCCCCCTTCATCAGACCAACAGCTGGGCATGCCCAACCTCCCCCCCCCCTCTGATCCCTCTGACCCTCATCCCCTAGGGGGAGGGGGG